ATTATCAATTAATTTAATATTAAAATAATTAGTTAATTAAAAATAATAATTTATTAATGTTGCTTTTTTTTTAAAAAGATATATTATGCTATGGAACTATTAATATTGATAATCTTGATCCGGATAAATTGTTGAAATCCTTATATTGTACGATGAATTAAGCTCCAATGGATTAGTTAATAATAACTTGCAAACTCATTTAATCACAAATAAGATGGAATTGATTTAGCAAAATTTAATCTACATTTGTAATATTTTTATTGAGCTATAATCAACCCTAAGGATTATTGCAATCAAGATCCAGAATTGGTTGATAATCTCAATGATATTGGAAATCTACATTTATATCAATGGTACAAAAAGACGATTTGGGGTTGAAGGGAATTGATTATGTTATACGATGGGGGGAGTCGAGGCAAATTTGAATTTGGAAGAAGAGAATTAAATGCAAATGATTTTATTGAATTAAAAATACATTACATGATATTGTTCCTCTGATAAGATTCAATCAAATTACACCTGGGGGCTTTTGTGAAAAATTAGACCTTAGAAAGAAGGGATCGGTGAAGAAGTTTATAAAGAAGTTATTCAATATTATTATCTTACTGATGGCGTTTGTGGATAGATAAATGGCAACCAAAGCGAAGGCTCTAATTTCTAGTTGGTGAATTAGTGAATTGATTTTTTGGGAAGGATTATTGCAACATTGAAAAGAACTATGAGCGTTATAAAAATTAAAGAAGCTGATGAATTGGTTAATGGTTTTAATCAAGTTTGTTGGAATAAAAAAAAAAGGTCTCCATATGATTGATTGTTGGATTGAACTGATATAAAAGGTTTTATTTTTAAGATTGATGAAATCAAACAAATGATTTAATAATAAACAAAATCACAAATCCTGCCTGAACATGCACTTTATTTTTTGTTTAGATTATAATATAAAAATTATTGAAAATCCAATATATTTTAATGGTTTGGAACCACCATTGTACCTCCGTATAAGAACCTTCCACCATATAAAAACATCATATAAAAACCTCTATATGATAACATATATGTTGGGAACCAATTATTATTAAGCTCATAGAAAAAATACTTCCATCCAAGGACAAGCTCTCTATAAAAAGATTTTAGGAAAAGTCACCATGTTTCCAACAGGTTTCTATACGGAGGTACGACTTTATATGACAGTTCCGATAACAACGCTTAAAGGAAATGACAATAAAAGTGTTTTTTATATTAGAAGAACATAAGATAAACTATATATTTTTTTCAAATCGAACACCAAAATAATAAGCTTGAGATTTTTCTTTCTGTGTAACAACCGCAAACCATTTTTTATTCGTAATCGTTGTTATTAATATCGGAAATAGCAAACCATTTAATTATTTATTGAACTCAGTCCCTGACAATTCTCCGCGATAGTGATTTTAATTTGTTCTTATTAATAATTATTATTATTTCCGCAAATGTAGTAATGTTTTTCAAAATAATAATGACAATTGATAATAACAATAATAATACCTTTTGGAGTCTATATGAATTGACTTAAGGAAAACAATGTTAAATGAGTTAGATTGTTTCCCAATTGGTGGTGGTGCTATCCATTTATCATTTAAAGCCAATAACAAGTCAATAATGAAATTTTTTTAGTGGATGTTTTTTATTTGTCGAAAAAAAAACTACACAAAACCCGTGTGAATTTTTGATTTCCAAACAAGGATATATGAAAATTTAATTATGATTTGCCGCCCTTTTTTAATTCCCTTTTTTTTTTTTTTTTTTAACATGTATATATATGTTTGCAGCAGCATAGTATTTTTTGATTTTGATCGACGTTTGCAATTATCACATTTGCATTTTAGTCAAAGATCTTCGTGTGTTACATACATTGTTAATTTTGAATTATAATTTGTCATTCTATTATGAACGAATTAAAAGGATTTTATATATGTATTATATATACAATAAAAATATTATTAAATGTAAATAAAGAAATGCTCTTATTTTTAGCATATTAATAGTGAAGCTTTAGCCAGATAAAGCTAATAAAGATCCACATAATGAGCAAATCCTTAAAGTATTAACAAAAGGAAACAGTTATATTTTTATTTAGAAATAATTCATTTCAATTTTGGAAACAAAACAAAAATAAGCCCAAACAAATTATTATATAAGGGTCACGCTACTATTATGTTCATCTAATTAAATAATTAAATGTAAGATATATATTAAAGTGTTTGTTTTCCATCTGCACACATTTTTTCATAGATCCTACCTAATATCTATCACCTTTGAATGATATTAAAAATAAAAGTAATTCACACGATATTGTAACCCGTGAAATGAATCGAAATCTCTTTTTTTTAAACCACATAATTTTTGTTTTTATTTTGCAAATATCACTTTAAAATTAATAAATATATTATTAATAAAAATCAGGCGTTTTATTTGTATTTGTATATATATATCCTATATCAATTATTTTACGAAATAATGAGGTAATCCGTTTAAAGATATATAAAAAAAGTGCAAGTCATGACTTTCAACTCTTCAAAAGTAGTTTTGGAGACCAAAATTAGTTTCGAAACTCCCAAAACTGTACTGCCTTTAAATCTTCAAAAAGCTACATATATAACCTCACATCTTATTTTTTTTAATATAAAAAATTTTTTTTCGTTTGTTACCATGCATGTTGTGTGTTACTAAAACAGATTCGTATATATCACAATCGCATTTTTGATATAAATGCGGGGTATGCATGTATGTAATACATTTGAATGTAATCTGGCATTCTCTGCCATGAAAGATTATGAATGGATAATTATCTGTGCTATGACTCTCTGATAAACGATAACAGTATTTATTAAATAATAATGATATATAGAATAAAAAATGATTTTTAATTGTATTTATTTAATATTTTTATAATTATAATAAATTTTTCCTAGCTCTCTCACAATCTGGTCCAATTAAAATTCAGCCAATAAAATAAGTTTATAAATGTAAAACAATAATTATCTCGTTGAATTGTTAAAATTAATATTAAAAACAAATGTCAAAACATCAAAAAAAAATTTTTTTAAAAATAAAAATAAAGTCATAAGATTTTATTGGCGTACTATTCGTGATTATATCATTAGTTGTAACTTTAAATTTTTTTCTGGCTTTAAATTGTAATGGAGAATGAACGATTTCTAATGGAGAAAATAAAAAGAAAATAAGATTTAATTTAATTAATCAAAGTGCGAATGCGAGGATTACATAATAATAATGTATTAATGCTTTTCGTGCCTTCATTTTTTTAATATTTATAGTTCGCAAGGTTTTACTTTTTCCAAAAAAAAAAATTTTAATGCGGGGATACTTAAAAATTTTTATTTATTTATTTATTTATTTATTATTAAATAGACAAACAAACAAGTAAATATTTTTCTTAAATATTTATTTAGTAACATAATATAAAAAAATTGGTATTTAAATGAATTTTTTTGAAAAAAAAAGAAAAACCAGAAACCAAAAATTAAATACTATTTTTCTAATAATCGAACGATATTACAAACAAGGGCAATGAAACGGTGATTAATTACATTCTTTACGATCTGACGCAATAGTAGATGTATAGATATATATATATATATATATATATCAAGTTTATATTTTATCGATATAATAACGTCAACATCAATGATCTGATAAACAGTTTACATCTCATCGATCAATCTCGCGTCAAAATTCCAAAAATCATACACCCTCAAAAATTTCCACTTCTTTGAACATTAATTAATATTTTACTTATATATCTATAGAATTATTAAAAATTAAAAAAAAAAAACAAAAAAAAAAAAATTTTTCTTCTTTATTTTTCATTCAATGGGGTTTATTTTATTTTTTTAAGCAGAATTTTGGACAATTCATTTATATATTCTGGTTAATATATATATTATATATCTTATAAAATAAAGTTGACACATAATCACGTAATGTAATGAACAATATTAATAAATTAGTGAGGACATTTTCATATTTCATATTTTACAAATTTTTTTTTTTTGGCAAAGACAAAATTTCTCGAATGTTGCTGCAAAAACAAAAATTTAATTTCGGGTTGTTGTTATATATTTTTTTAAATTTCCTATTTTTTATTCATTAATAAAATTTTCAATGTTTCAGTTTCCACTAGCTTTCTATTACACTATCAATTTTCTTTTAGACGATTATACCAATAAGAATTATGGCTATTTATTTGATTGTCTATTTGTTTATTTACGAAATTACTTGATTTTTAATCAGTACCGTACGTGACCCGTGACTCTTTGGATTCCCGAAATAGTTTTTTCAATAAATTTCTTTTTATATATTAGTTTAACATGTATTTAGATTTCGGCAAGCTTAAGATTCGGGTATAAGTTTAGGCTTCGGTAATTTATTTTCCCTAAACTAGTTTCGAGTAGTTTCGGTATCGGGGCTTTCTCCAAACTTTGTCACAGAATTTCATGATTGCGTGGTCTTGGTATTATTATTATTTGTGCGATCAAATTTAGTTAATTTTTATTTATCAATCATTAATAAAAAGAAATATATCCATACATCACCCACATGAGAATATATACTGTGCCATATATACAAATTTGTTAATATTAATTTAGCGCCCGTCGACTCAGCCAATTGAATTTTATACGATGATGCAATATTGCTTATTTTTTTTTATTCATTGATCAATGCAAATTTAAAAATAAAAAAAATTTGCATGCAAACAACATTGTTTATTAAAAAAAATCTCCCAGTAAAACTGCTGTAAATTAAAATCATTTGCATCTGTAAATAATAAAGTATAAAACATAATTACAAAGGAAAAGGCTGATTGAAAACAAATAACGGAAAGATCTTTACATATGATGTCTATGAATCTGAAACTCACATATGTGACATCAAATTAGCCAAAAGGAATTCTCATCCAAACGCCTCCCTCCCTAATAAATTTCAATTCGCTAAGGAATATGTCGGCTGATAGAAGAAAAGAAAAAAAATTCAAAAGAGATTTGACAAATGTAACTCATATACACAAACAGGTATGCCAGATGGCAATTAATTAATGAGAACTTTGCATTCTTTCATTTTTATTTATAATAATACCAGAATAATTCAAGAGGTTAAAGAAATCGTAATAATTGATGTATTCAACGAGTGAATATCCGCCATGTCCATCAGGAAATTTTATTGAAGCAATTTTGTGTAGAGCTTACATTCCACGTAAGAACAATGTGAGATTAACAAACCCGACACAATCCTTACACAATTTCATATAGAAGAAACTTACAAGCATTCGGTACTTAGACTTGCTGGTTCCAAAACTATTGTGACTGATGATCTGAAAGATGAATATTTTAAGAAAAGTCTCTGAAAATCAAGTGTTCTTTTGATAAATTCATTGAAGGAAAAAAAAAAAGAAATGGAAAATCCCTAATTGTAGCAGACAAATATCTAAATCGAAAATACACATGTAAATTACTAAGAAACTATCAATGCAATGATCTCTCTTTTGAAAGGTGCAGTCAATAAAATTAATGGAACTCATCAGCAACCTGGTTCTAATTTACTAGCCATGATGGGTCAAGGACCTTTGGTAAGACATCTTCCTTGGCAATTTGTTTTCAATCTTCACATATATTACTCCCAATTATACGATCGTATATGTGCGTAATCATATTTCTGATTTCAAAGGTCGAAATTATTTCAATGTCAAAGTTGGATTGCAACACGCGTTTTGACAATGCTAATTTTGACTGCATGTATATTCCCAACGTACATATTGAAGTAGGTTTTCTGACAAAGGTATATATAGTGAAAAGTTCTTTTATTGGATCAGGTTATCTTTTTAGTTGTCTAGTAACACTACTGCCCCATCATTTATTGCTTCAAGTTGTGCCATCAAACAAATATCTGACGTAGTCTAGAAAGCCATCGACAAATGCAACCAAAGTTGGTGTCTGCAATCGGTTGTAAAAACAGGTTGCAACATCCCAATTGCAAATTTTTAGTTGCAGATACTGCAAGCCACTTTCAAAAAACGGACCGTTTGTTGTTCCTCATATATATATGTGTGTGTGTGTGTGTGTGCAATCCTATGTATAAAATTTATCACAATGTAGAATTTTTTATTTTAAATTAATAAAAAGATTTTACCATTATTAATTTGTTTACGTTTCATTTGATTTCAAAGCGTAAAGCAAAAGATACTGTTGGTATTTAACAATTTCAAAGGCTAGAAAATTTGATGACTCAGATTTGTTATTATCATAATAGTATATTTACCATGAAAAAACATTATAAACGTTGCATTTTTTCTCATCTAATGGAATACATATAAAGGGTTTTTTTGGATTTGTTGACTACTTATAGGTGTCTAAAGTGAAGAGTTTTTAGAAGTTGAGGATACTATCGATTGCGATTTAAATTATTCAAAAAACTATAATGTGAAAAAAAAAATCCAAATAAAGGGAAGTTATATAATCAATCTCATTGTTTTCCTAATATAGTTTATTTGGAAATTAAAGTTATCTATTTAAGGATATACTATATAATACATTTTTAACCTACATATTTAACCGGTCCGATGGTGATCAACTAAATGTGCGCATTTTTTATGTAACATAATTTCCGCACACAATTTCCTGTAAATCATATGATGTGGGACACCCCAATATTAATATGACATGATTAGTTACCATTTTGAAACATTTTTGATCAACATAATAATGTAATTGGGTGGAAAAGATGTTGATTTTTATTAATTTTTTAAAACATTACAACTTTGTTGAAAAAAAAGCAGATAATAATTTTGCGTAAAATAATAATTAATTACAGCAAGCAACATTAAAAAATTGTAAATAAAAATAAAAAGATTCAATTAATAGAAGATTGATTTGCTTTTCACATACAATAATCTTATAATTCAGGTTTTAATGTATTTTGGATTTATTGATCTTTTATTCTAAGATGGCGTCTTGTATGACCTTTTAGTTCATTTTTTTGATAATACGCTTTAGTGCATCCAGGATATTCACATTTGAAATCCTTTATTCCAAAATGATACTTTGTATGAAATTGTAGTTCACCTTTGCTACAAAATGCTTTGGTACATCCTGGATATTCACATTTGAAATTTTTTATTCCAAGATGACGTCTTGTATGTTGCTTTAGTTCATAATTCTGAAAAAAAGTTTTTGTACATCCTGGATATTCACACTTGAAATTTTTTATCTCAAAATGACGTTTTGCATGTTGTCGTAAATCAATTTTTTCATGAAATGTTTTTGTACATCCTGGATATTCACACTTGAAATCTTTTATTCCAAGATGATATTTTGTATGTCGTATTAAAGAAATTTTTTGACGAAATGCTTTTGTACATCCTAGGTATTCACACTTGAAATTTTTTATTCCAAGATGATGTATTGTATGTTGTATCAATTCAGATTTTTGACAAAATGCCTTTGTACATCCTGGATAATCACATTTAAAATCTTTTATTCCAAAGTGACGTCTTGTATGACATTGTAAAGCAATCTTTCCATAAAATTTTTTTGTACATCCTGGATATTCACACTTTATACTTTTTCTAACACCTTCTTCATCCTCATTTTTGCTTTCACTTTTATTTTTATTTTCGTTTTGATTGTCTTCATTGTTGTAATTGTCATCACCATTTTGATCATTATTGTAATTGTTGTTAACGTTATAATTATATTCTTCTATAATCTTTTTGATTTTATCGTCATTATTATTAATATACACCCAACAATCTATATATCAAATTATCATTATT